TGCCTGCAGGGGACCTTCCCACGGCTCAAGCCGTCCTCCCCCATTGCGCAAACACAAAGCAATTTCTTTGCAATGGGGCTGTTCCCACCATGGAACAGCTTCATCATTTTCATCAGCTTTCCTCAAGTTGTCTTTGTTTTTCCTCTTAAACATCTTTGTTGCAGTCTCCTCCCATTGTATCCTGTTCCGCGACGCCAAAATGTTTTGTGAAATTTTAGATAGGATCGGAGGTGATCGGCAACAAGAATGAGTCAACACGCTGGTCTGCTAGAATAAATATGTCTTTTATTCCCCACAGATTACAGCAAAGCAGTGCTGCACAGCAAAGCAATCATTCACACACTGATACGTGATGCTATATATATTGTCCTCTAATATATCTTTCGCTCTTACCTTGACACATGGACTGGAGAGCCATCAGTCCGGGCAGAGCAGCAATCACGTGGCCGGGCGTCTGTACGTGACCCACGGCAGACTCTGCCAAGACGAGGGACTACCTCGATTTTATACTCTTTAACAAGCATCCTTACGTGAGAGTGAAGAATGGCCACTTCCTCGCTCCCAGGCAGATCCTCCAAGAATAGTGCAGCCACTTCCCGTTTCATATCTGACCACTTATTCCCACCATTGTTTGAATCAGGTCAAAATGACCTCTTCAAGGTACTCAGAGCAGTCAGGTNATGAAACACAGAATGACCATTCTATTGTCCATGCGTCCAAAAATATCTAGCACGAACTTAGAGCGTGATCAGCTACGTGACAACCAGCCACTGTCCACGCGCTTAAGTCGTGTACAACAATACCTATCACGAACTCAGAGCATGGTCAGGTTATATAACAGATTATGAAGGTTACATAAAGAGTATATAAGACATTATCAAAGAACAAATATAATATTTCTATATCACATACAATTTGCACACAAGAAGTTTTGGTTGTTGGGTATTGTGGAGAATTCTCCTTACACCCTGAAGGATCTTGGTGTTGCCACAGGTTGTGCATGCTGCGATGCTTCACTGCAGCGGCTTGAAATGAGCAAGGATAACTAGAGACTGCAACATGATCACTAGGAAGCACAGCATCTCCAGGCTGGTGCAGACTGTTCCACGGTCATCAACAGCTTGTCGAACCACTGCCGCTTGAGCTCGGCATGTCCATCTTCAGGGCCGACAACATCAGCCATTCTCAGCAGCTCACCTCAACATGAGCAGCTCACCTCATGTTGGTGGAGTCGTTCACCTGGCAAGCGACCCTGAAGAGAAAGTTGACCACAGTGGTTTGCTTCTCCACAGGTTTGCTGAGCATGGTCACTGCTCTTGGGATGGACTGTCTGCGGCCAAACACCATGGATGCAGTGCCCAGTCCGGGCTGCTTCTAGACAGTCCTCTCTTCACCAGTAATGGCTTTGGGCCCAGACACTGGCTGCTGGTCCTTGATCCTCTGCAGCCTTTATCGGAGATGTGAGCATGACCTGGATGAAGTTCTTCCTCATCTCCAGAGTCATCACCAACAGCCAGGTCCTCACCAGATCCAGGCTAATCCTCACCATCTCACTGGTAACTCGACAGGCCTTGATGACCCCCGGATTGGCCTGCTGGAGGCTCATGTGTTCCCAAACCATCTTTTGCAGCAATCGCATGAAGAAAGAGATGAGGCGGAACAATGTAGTTGCAGGGCGACTTCAGGATAATCAGAGTTCTAAGCAGCTGGGTGGGGTTTGTGTGGCTGGTTGCTCACAAGGCAGGACAGCCTTGTGAGCAGTGAACGGCCCGCAGCCCCCTGTTACAACTACGCTAATGTACTTAAGATTAAGGTGATCAAACATCTCAAAAATATGACATGGTTAATAATAATGAGTACAACATTTCTGTCTTATAGTGACCCTAAGATTGTTTGAGTATTTTGAAAATATTTGCTGAGAGACTAGTCAATATCTAGCACCTCTCCATAGTAATGAATCATGCTCTTCTGCCCTAATCTCCCATCCTTGGCTCTGGGCAGTGGGGGGAAAAGTTTCTTCACTGTATAGCATAATGATGTTGTCAGGTCACAGGGAGTTGACCCCTGTTGGGCTAATTTTGATGTCTCCAATTATAATTTTGTTTTTCTATTTTCCAAACAGTTTTCCAGAAACACCTGAGTTTTAATTCCAATTAATTTATTAAATTTGGTAGCCCATTTTTCGCATATATTTTGCCCTGGATTAGAGCTTTTCTGCTTATCTCCCCAAAGATATGATTAAATTATCAATTTGGAATCAATTCAGAGTCTATATTATTGTTTATAAGATAATTTGCTCAAAATCAAAAAAATATTTTTTGGTGTTTCACAAGTTTTCCAAATCCACCATCTAGAATTCAAGGTGGACTGTGAAATGTTTTAGATTTAATGTTTTTTTCGGTTGTTTTTTTATCTCTATAAAAAAGAGACCCTACCCGGGATAAATGGAAGAAAATGGATGGATGGAATCCTCTCTTATTAGCTTTTGTTATACAGTTGTCTGTGTACCCTGAGCTCTTGTGAAATTAAACAAATTAAACGAAGCTATGCAACTCATCCCGAGAAACTTATTCCTTCAGATCAGGGGTGGGCAATCCTGGTCCTTAATGGTCGGTGTCCTGCAACTCTTAGATGTCTCCCTGGTCCAACAGACTTGAATCCAATAGCTGAATCACCTCCTAAGTGCAGTCAAGTTCTCCAGAGTCTTGCTGATGACCTCATTATTTGACTCAGGTGTGTTGAAATAGAGATGCATCTAAAAGTTGCAGGAGACTGGCCCTCGAGGCCTGGAGTTGCCCACCCCTGCTTTAGATATTAATTCCTCCTATAAGCAGCCCTGGTGTTCTCTTTCCACCTGTATTGTTATGGTGGGTTTGTGTTGGAGATGTTAATGACCCATGTGTTTACTTAAAACTTGAAATTTATTGTTTCAAACCAAAATAGCCTGCCAGCGAATTTCCCAAGTTTCCAGCCAGCCTTGTTGCGAGTCCCTGCAACGAGGGACTCCCTAGCCCTGGAGATTGGCCATAAAGGCTGGCCAATCTCCAGCCAGCCTTTATGGGTCCCTGTGAATTCTCCTTCATTGCCTTCCAAGGCCTCAGCTCCCTTGTCGCCTATGTTCAAGACCTTATTTCCCTCGTCACCTACGTCCAAGGCCTTAACTCCCGCGTCAGCGGTCCCCGAGGTTCTTGCACCGCCTTTGGCGGCTGGACATTGTACTCTCTTTATCATGAACTCTAGTTTTGTTTTTGTTTTGTTTCCAGTCCTCCTTCCGAGGCTCCCTCGGCCCATCCTGGGTCGGTTGTTTTTGGTTTTGTTTTGTGGACCACACTTGTGCAGAGCACATAGCATAGAAATAGATTCAATAGATTGGCCTTATGCATCGGCTCAGTGCATCACCAGTTTGAACATGGCTTTAATAGTGAAGTTGTCGTTTCTTTTACAGGTGATTGAAGGGACTGCAAATGCTGGGAAAGATTTCCGTACAAATCCTTCCTCCCTGATCCAGTTTGATCCAGGTACTTTTCAAGGAGCTTACATTATACTTTTTAAATACAAAAGAGGTGTTTGTTAATTCCAGTTTGTACTTGAGTCAAAGTATACATCTGTAGTGTCTACTAAACATCCATCCATCCATCCTTCCTTTCTTCCTCATGGGACAACACTGACAAAATCACGCTTTGACACAATGAAAAGTTGTCTGTGTGCAGCTTATATAACAGTGTAAATTTATTCTTCCCTCAAAATAACTCCATATACAGTCATTAATGTCTAAACTACTGGCAACAAAAGTGAATACACCCTAAGTGAATGTTCCTTAAGTGTCAATATTTTGTGTGGACACCATTATTTACCAAAATTGCCTTAATTGTCCTGGGCATGGAGTTCACCAGAGCTTCACAGGTTGCCATTGGAATGCTTTTCCACTCCTCTATGATGACATCACGGAGGTGGTGGATGTTCAAGACTTTGCGCTCCTCCACCTTCCGCTTGAGGATGCCCCAAACATGTTCTATTGGGTTTAGATCTGGAGACATGCTTGGCCAGTCCATCACCTTCACCCTCAGCCTCTTCAATAAAGCAGTGGTCATCTTAGAGGTGTGTTTGGGGTCATTATCATGCTGGAACGCTGCCCTGCGACCCAGTTTCCAGAGGGAGGGGATCATGCTCTGCTTCCGTATTTCACGGTGCAGATTGGAGTTCATGACTCCCCAACACTTGCTGGACTCATGCAGCCCCAGACCATGGCATTCCCACCACCATGCTTGACTGTAGGCATCACACACTTAACTTTGTACTCCTCACCTGACAGCTGTCACACATCCTTGAGACCATCTGAAACAAATAAATTAATCTTGGTCTCATCAGACCACAGGACCTGGTTCCAGTAATCCATGTATTTTGTTGACATGTCTTCAGCAAACTGTTTGCAGGCTTTCTTGTGTACAGACTTCAGAAGAGGCTTCCTTCTGCAGTGACAGCCAAGCAGTTTAAGCTGATGTAGTGTGTGGCGTATGGCCTGAGCACTGACAGGCTGACCTCCCACCTCTTCAATCTCTGCAGCAATGCTGACAGCACTCCTGCACTTATCTTTCAAAGACAGCATTTGGATGTGACGCTGAGCATGTGCGCTGGCATGTGCTCAGCGTCAAGAAGCTAAGTAGCTTCTTTGGATGACCAACGCAAGATCTGTTGACCCAGCTAAAAATGCTGGATGATCTTGGCCATTGTGCTGCAGCTCAGTTTCAGGGTGTTAGCAATCCTCCTGTAACCTTGGCCATCTTCATGTAGCGTAGTGCTTCTCAATTCCAGTCCTCAGGCCCCCCTGCTCTGCATGTTTTAGATGTGTCTCTATTTCAGAACAGCTGATCCAAATGATTGCATGACCTCTCTGCAGTCATCAAGTACTGCGGAAGCCTGTCAATCACCCACAGATTCAATCCAGGTGTGTGGCAGAAGGGGAACACCTAAACACACCTTAGATCTAGTAACACTAACAAGTCACATGACACTTTGAAGGGAAAATGACAAGCAGTGCTCAATTTGGACATTTAGGCGTGTAGTTTCTTAGGGGTGTATTCACTTTTGTTGCCGGTGGTTTAGACATTAATGGTTGTATCTAGACTTATTGAGGGAAGAATAAATGTACACTGCTATATTAGCTATACACAGATTACTTTTCATTGTGTCAAAGTGTGATTTTTTTCAGTGTTGTGCCATATTTATATACTTAAATATCTGCAGAAATGTGAGGGGTGTACTCACTTTTGTTATGCATTTATATCAGTATAATTCTCAAACATTTTTTTACTGTTTCTATAGGAGTGGCAAAGCGAAGTTGGCAAACTGAGATAGTTGAAGACCACATTGAGGAGGCCGATGAAAAGTTTGAGGTGTTGCTAGTTTCTCCTGAAGCCACAGTAATTGGTAGAATCAGCAAGGCTGAACTCACAATCAGAGATTCAGGAAATGGTAAAAGATGTTGTGCATCTTACTAACCAACTGTTTTTCTTGTAAAAAACCTATTTTACCTTGTAAATCCTAACTGACAGGACAGTGCTGGCCAAATCAGGATCAACAAGCTCCTCTTCTAGGAGGAAAAGAGATTCGATCAGATACATATCCCCAGCATGGATCCATTCGTCTGGAGAAACTTCCTCTTGCTACACAATCCGTCATATGGGGCAGAGGAGACAGCATCTCATCACCACGAGAACATCTCCCTAAGAAGATACTCAGAATTGTGAGCAATCGCAAATCTGTAAGCCTTTCAGAGTCACCTTTAGAGTTTGTTTCATCCTCAACCCTATGTGACCAGTTCCTGTATGAACAGGTTAATCTGCAAACAGATTTGTGTTTTATTTTTTAGATTGCCCCTTCATCGGTGTTCCACAATGGGACAGATGTCGTTTACACAGTAAGTAGCTGCAGCAGCTGATTCCAGTTTCATAACACTGAAGGCTAAAGACAGATCTCAAACCATTGTTTACTGTATTTCAGTATCATGGAATTATGCAAATGCAAGTAGAGGATGAAATGTCCCCCTCTAGAAAGAGCAGGAAAGCAAACATTCGGGTGGTTAGCAGGGAACCACAACACCAAGTACCTGGACTTCTTACTGAAGCAAAGTCCAACACTCCAAAAGATGAACTGAAAGCACAAATGAAAGAGCAAGCAGGAGAACATGTGAGTTGGTTTTATGCGTTTTATTGTGAGTAAAGAGAATCCTTCTTTCTTTTGTTCATTCTGTCTTGTTGATCCAGTCAGCACTGCATTTCTCAGCCTTTTTTTTATAAAGTCCTGATTTGACTGGGCAGATACTCTGATTTTCTGTGGAACTTAATAAAGGTCATAAGGTTCGTATATTTGAAAATATAAATTTATAAATATAACCAAACATTACAGACTTTATGCAGTTTCATCAACTGTGATACAATTAAGCTATTTATTTATAGTTCTCAATTGCATAAAATTATAATTAACACTGTCAATCAGGCTCATGTTTAAGTTTAAGACCCTCCTCCTGGCTCTGATTGGTTGTTTCTGACCAGGAGTGGTACATTTCTGCAGATGGCAGTAGGACCACAGGATGGAGAAGCTTGATTTTTTCACATTATCTTTCTCTTGTTATACTGTCATGACCTGGTGACAGATTTAACAAATATGTTTTAAAAAAAACATTGTTTTGTATTGTATTATGTTAACATGACCTCCTGCACTTCACTAATGTGCCCAAAACACTGTCATGTTCTGCTGCGACTGTTTTAGGCATTACCTTTGCTTTATCGTTATCTTTTTTTTCTGTTCTGTTTTTTGCCCAGAGTTTTTATCTAATTGTTGGATTCAGATAGTCAGTATAAATAACTACCATACTTTGTGACCTTTAGACTGCAGGTGATACTTTTGCACCTAAAACAGGTCTGTCAGAGCTCATAGGACTCCTTCATTCATTCCTTCCTTCATTTCAACCAGTCCACCAATCAGTTGCTTTACTGGAAACCATGGGTACCAATTGACCAGGTATAAACTTGTCAAGGGAAATATCTCTGGATTAAATGGAAGCATTTAAATTGTACTAAATTTTTTGTTGTCTGTCATTTTGACTGACAGCTTAAAAAAATCTGTCATTTTCTATTTTTACCCAGCAATATTTAAATGATATTGACACAGGCTATTCAGTTGCATTTTATTTTTATGCGATTTAGTTAATATTCAACTAGCTGAACCGCAAATCCAGATTACCCACATAAAGAATCTAGCTTTTACTCCGCAGTGACAACAACCACTTACTGTGGCCCCAATAACTTATAATAAATTACCGTAAGTTAAAGTTAATTCAGGTAATAATTTTGTCATCTTCTTCTTTCCACAGTATAAATTGAATGATGCCTCTATTAAAATTATGCATTTGTGACTTAAAACTTTTTTTTCTGCCATAAAGCAGTGGTCAAACTATGGGTAAATGTTTGTAATTTACTTTCAACAAACGGAAACCAAAATGGTATTAAAGTAAAGACACTATGCAAATTCCTCATAGGGGTACATTCACTTGGATACAGTGATACTGTATCCAAGTGAATGTGATGACAATTGAATGAAAATTGTACAGCAGGGCTTTGACTCCAGTTCATAAGGGTCGGTGTCCTCCAACTTTTAGACGTCTCTTCTTTAACGCACCTGAGTCAAATCATGAGGTCAGAGGTCATTAGCACGACTCTGGTGAACTTGACCTTCTTAAGCAGCCATTTAATCCAGGTGTGTTGGACCAGGACATGTTTAAATGTTGCAGGACACCAGACATTGATGCCTGGGATCTAAGGATCCCTGTTAGATGAGTGTGTTGAGATCTGAAAGGTCCTCATCCTCCAGTAAGTAAAATAACACCAGATCCCGATCCATCAGTCAGCCGTTTTGTCCTGTATAGAGACAAATAAAATTGTTTTAGTTATACACATAGAAATTCAATAAATTAGAATCGAAAGGAAATTTATTTCACTTAGTGAATAAAGTAATAGGCAAATCAGAATATCTCACAAACTATAAATACAAATATCAGTCAGCAACAGGACCAAGAATCTGATTGGAACCTGTTGGACAAAACAGATACTGTAAGAACCACCCAGAGATCATTTTTATGGATTAAAGATTCAAACTGTGCTGAGTGTGACACTAGAAATACACGGCCTCGGCTCCCAACAGCTAACGTAGCATAAACATTAGCTCCTGCTAACAGAAACATGAGGAGGGCAGAGTATCAGACATAACGTAATCTGAAATTATTAATAACTAGAAAAATTGCTGTTCCTAGCGAAACAGCCGTGGGAATGCATATTTGCAGAATGACTGATGGAAAAATCCAAGAAACATGAGAAAGAAGAAGTACAAAAAAGCAGAAGAAAGAACAAAGCATTGTAGAAATCTTTTGCTAAGTAATGAAATTTAGCAAAGGTATATCCGAATTCAGCAGAAGAAGCAGAAGTTTGTGTGCAACCTGAATTATTTGAAAAAGTTGAAAAGTGAAACAGAGCTTATAGCACATTTAGCAAAAGAAGTGAAATTAGTACAAAACCAGAAATATTTGAAAAAGTGAAACAGCAAAATAAATAGCATAAGGGAGCAAAAGAAGCATATTTGCAGAATAAATGATGGGGAAATGCAAGAAACATGAGAACAAAGAATAAGGAGAAAAAAGCAGAAGAAAGCTACAGTCATATATTGTAGAAACCTTTGCTAAGTAATGAAATTTAGCACAGGTATAGCAGAATTCAGCAGAAGAAGCAGAAGTTTGTGTGCAACTTGAATGATTTGAAAAAGTCAAAAAGTGAAACAGACCTTAAGAAAGAGCAGAATTAGCACAAGAGGAAATTAGTACAAAACCAGAAATAGTTGAACAGTGAAACATAGCAAAAAGCATAAATTAGCAGAAGCAGAAATTAGTACAAAACCAGAAATATTTGAAGAAGTGAAACATAGCAAAACAAAAAGCATAAAGGAGCAAAAGAAGCAGAACACTTTGATATATGAATTGCTAAAATTGATTAAAGTTTGCAGAAGACCTTTGCAGACAGTAAAACCAGTAGAAGCAGAAGGCATACATAAAGGTAGACAAGCAGAATGCAAACACACAGATGGAAACAGAGCACAAGAGAAAAATACATTGAAAGAATAGATGAAGGTGCGACATGGCTGTACCCCAGAGGAGTTTGACAGTAAACAGAAAGAGCTGTGATAGTAATAGTTCCTTAAAGTAGACATACATGGCTACATTTTAAATAATTTCTCCACAGTGAAATATGTATGAACAGCATTATTTTGTCAAAAAGCATTAAAAGTTCAAAAACGGCAGTTACTAGAGTGTACACTCTGGCAACTGATAACAGTTAGAGCAGTGTTTTTCAACCTTTCTATGGCTTCTATTGCCTCTAGTGGCATGCGGGTGGCAACACAACTAATCTAATTACATTACTAAATCAGAATACCACAGCGTCTTTATTATTTACTATTAATTTTGGCATTACATTTCAGCATTACTGGCACCGTAAAAGATAAATTATCTTTTACGGTATCTTTTCACCATATTTTTTCATTTTCTTAAGGATGTAGAGCTAATTAAATGACATAAACAAGATAATATCTATATATCTCAATCAATTATAGGAGGAAGAAAAGAAATAAGGAGACATGAAAAACATGATTAATTATAATAAAAAGATAATTGGCAATGTATATGTAAGAAATTTAATTGAGCAAAAGTCATTAACAAAAATTAATTACGTACACAGAAGAATAACAACCCAGGTTGTTACAACCAGGGATGTTAAATACATGTCAGAGTTGACACCTATTAACACAGATTAAATAACACAGGAAAGACAAGAGAAAGTTAGATTCTTAATACTCGCGAGGAGAACAGACAGAGATGTGCTTTCAGTTCCAAATCTCCTACTGCTCTGAAGCTCATTTGCCTGCCCCTCTCTTTTTATTGTCTTTAGGATCCCTAATCACAGAGAGCGTTGTAACTCTAAAGGGAGGGGGAAAGACACTTCATCACACAGTCACAGCGCCAAGATTATCACTAACTAACAACACAATCTATCTTAACATAGAATATCCAGTTCCTGACACAAGGTCAAATAGACCAAGTTGAATATCTTCACGGCGACGGTTTTACAGCTATCTAACAGGTCAAAAAGCAGGGCGTTCTGTCAAGGGCTGCTGTCACTGCTCTTTTTCAGAAAGCCCCTCTGAGGAAGGAAATCAGAGTGATTAACAATACAAGAACATTTCTTAAAAGATATAACTAAACAATAAGTGTATATAAAGCAAGAATATTATAAAGATATAACATTTGATAATAATAACATTTACCTAACAATAGATATAAGCAAAAATTCATATTTTTGTTTTTTACGGTGCCATGTATATTATTCTGAGAGACTTTTTGTCGTTAGAGTCTTATATATAGGAAAAAAATATGTTGAAACTATTTAGTCTATCAACGTGGAAATTTTCCTTCGACTCTAAAACCATCAATCATATACATAGAATCACATTATCAACAATTTGTGAATAGAGTAAAACACTTGGCACGCTGTAGGTAAATGTTATCATTTAGTTTGGTTAAGAATAATTACTGCACCATCAATAAATGTCTAATAAATGTTCTTATTACCAGAGGAACACAGCAACACCTTCATGAGCTCAGAGGTTCAAACTGATGAATAAAGAGGATGGACGCTCTCTGCTGAAATATTCCTGCCATCTTTCATGTTCTTTCAGCAAACAGTTGAGACAGAGATGGTTTTGGTTTCACCACCATTTACCTGCTGTTATACCTGCCATTCAAACTATTCTTAAAAGATTGTCTGTTAGTCTGCAGCTCATGTGACCAAACCAGCCGAGAAGATGAAAAGTTAAAACTTGAGTTAAAATGTTGTTTTAACTTGAGTTAAGTTAAAACTCTAGTTAGAATGTTAAGTTTTAACATTTTAACTCAACAACCTCTAGTTGTGTACAGAGTCTCTGAGAACAGGTCTTAAAGATATAGTCAGTGTTTTCAGCAAAGTTGAGCTGACTGTCCAGGAATGACTTGAGGTATTTAAAATTTGCCACAGTTTCAACAGGTTGGCCATCGAGAGAAACTGGAATCACTTTCAGGTCTTGTTTACGTCATTTAGTTAGCTCTA